GAATCTATTACCGATTTCCGTCCCTCTTTCGGAAAAATAATTTTTAACTCATCTGCCAAATCTTTCATATAATCTCCAATGTCTTCATATTTAATATTCGCGTGTTTGATGATCGGTGCAAAATCCTCAAAGTGCTTTTTCAAATGCTCCGGACAATGAATATCACAAACAACAATTCCGTTGATTTGTCCCGCTACTAACATATCCTTCACATATTCGGTTGGTACATAGTCACTTCCAGTATCGGAATAGTATTTCATCTTATCTTCATACGATCTCTTTTCGTCTACAAAATCTTTGTATCCACACACGTTATTCCTATAATGATCTCGTATTTTACACTCCATTATTAAAGTTACTTTCAAATTTCGAGACTTTTCTAAAAAAGTTTTTCTAATTTTGTCTATTTTTCGAATTTGTACAGCATTCATAACAATCATTTTTTTTGTCGCTTTATCCCAACGATTGAACGTAACATAGTCGTATTTATTGCATCTTTCACAAGCATGATAATAACAGCCTTGAAACTCAAAAACACGTCTTTCTCCCTTTAAATAACCGTCCACATAAATACATTTCAGAGGTTCTATTCCAATATCATTTATAGTATATAACTCTTTCAGTATTTCTTGCTCATATTTAGTAAAAACGATTTTATGATTTCTGAGAATTATATTTTCGGTGTAAATTTCTTTCTGTATAAAATCAAAATAGTCTTCTTCTGCTTGACTTTGTACTTTCGAACTAGTAACTTTTCTTTTCCTTTCTGTCATCAACAGATCACTTTGGAATGTGTGACTTGTGTAATTATAAGTAAAATCGGTACTCTTTCGAATTAAAAAATTTGGAATACCAGGATTAACGTATAATGACGGTTTTCTGACAAACTGTCCTTCGCCAAGACACCACAAGTAAAGCGAATTCGAATCATATCCAACGATATACGGATGCTTTTTACTATTCTCCCTTGTAAAAATTATCGACTGCCCACCAACTTCCGATTGTTTTACTATATTAATTATTTCCATGTTATTTAAATAATACATCGATCCTTTGTACATGTAACGCGATAAAATTTTCTTCGCTAAACCAGGTAACGAAATACCGTTCGTAAACATGTCCACATGATTATCTCTCAATTCCTTTGCATAATTTTGGATAGCTTTAGCAAACGGGACAACATCCATAAGATTGTAAAAACGCAATAAATCCTTCAACGTTTTAAAACCCAATTCACGCCATTTTTTTTTAATCATTTCGTATTGTTCAAGCCCGGATAATGGTAAATTTGTGTCGATTTTTCTAACTTCTTCTGGAGCTGTATTTAGAAGCATTTTTTTAACTTTGTAATTTTTTTCCAAATAGGTGAGATACTCTTCCTCTAACACGTTCCCCTGTTTCAACGTGCTATAAAACGATTCATAAGGAGGGAGACAAGTTTCTTTTAATACATCATAACTTGACATGTATTCGTATGGGAAAAAAAACTTTTCCATTTTAAATTCTGCAGCAAAAGACTGTATAAAATTTCGTAAACTAAATCCTGGCGCTAAAAATTGCATCAAATCTAACAATTTGAACCGCCCGTGTTCGATTTTTACGCTCATTTCTATATATTTGCTCTGCTTTTTTATTACGAATAAATCTTTCCCATTTGTCTTTTGATTATTGATATCTTCGATGTTGCTAAAATTTAATCCTTTTTCCTTTAAAACTTGTATTAACTCCTTCTTTATTAACGGAATATCATACGCGCTACTGTTGAACCCAAACACGGGAAGTGTAGATATATAATCCAAAAATCTTTTAAACATACGAATTTGTGGTGTATAACATTCGATCAACGTCATTGGATCTTTACCGATCTTTTCCATTATTTCCATTTCTTTCGACATTGTAACCAAATCATCATCGGACATATTTTTTTCTTTTAAAGTAGAGCTCACACTTACAAATCCGTTAAAAAAACTCCCCTCACCTTCTTCCTCCTCATCGTCAATCGCGCTTATAAAGTCATCATTGTGGAGATAATTTAGCTCCTCAGTAGTAAATTTAATAAGTATCTTTCTTTCGGCAAAATATCTTTTTATATATAAAATAACTTCTCTATATCTATTAAATTCCATTTCTTTATTTAATTTCACCAATTCTTCCAGATCATCGACGAAAAAATTTATCAATTCTGCCGGATTTTCAGATATGCGAAATACAGTAGAATAACCATTTTCATCTGGTTGTAAATGATCTATATGCTCTGTTGTCAAATTGCTGCATATTGCGTACGACAGAGGTATATTTTCAAACACGTATTCCTCCCCATCTATAGTCAAATCAGTGGAGTTCTCTTTGAACTGTTGCGAAGAAATTATAGATTCACCATCATCAGAAAACACAAACTCCTCATCGTACAATTCTTGCATAACTTCTCTCTCTGTCAAAAAATGTTCTTCAGCTTCCTTTTTTAATCTTTCGTTTTCTTCGGTTTCATCAAAAAAGCCGTCTCTTATACTCTTTAATCTCCGATTTTTTAATTCACTCAAAGTCGTTCTTTTAAGCAAACTCTCAAAATCGTAACAAACCATATTTCTTTTAAAATACATATCATTATTATTTCCGTTGTTATCAATGTCGTTATTCTCGTCTTTTACAATATCTTTTAATAGTTCATCCGGCAAATGAAACATTTTTTTCAACATTTCAGGAAAAAGTTCATGAACATCAACAACTCCAGTAGCGCTAATAAGGGTTACATCAGTATTGCAACGTGTTATTTTTTTACCGCTTCCAGCTCTATGTCGTAACAAACTTTTCATCCACGTAAAATTCTGTCCGCATACCAGATAACTAATATTGTCCATCAAAAGTCTTTTCTTAATAACCAAATAATAATGCTGATTAAACAAAATCAAGTTAATATTCATTTTCTTCTCGAAAATAAGTCTGTTCGAAGATTTTGACAATAAAGCCATTTTCACTCTACCTTTCGAAACCTTAGGAATAAAAACCATGATCTTACACTTAAACAAAAACTCCATAGCAGGCATGACTTTAACAGATACACCTTGGAAAGTTAATATTTGTTCTGGAGTAAGCTTGTACACTTCAGCATACATCCTAAAGAGTTCAGCCGTTTTATCTTCAATTAGCGTTTTTATATGAGTATTTTCGACTTTCCGCATTATCAAATTCTCCAATTTTATTTCCTTATCAACTAATAGTAATGAAACAGCTATCATCCTGAAAAAACATTTGTTATCGTTTACGACTCCACCAACATTTCTTTGCAGATCCCTTTTTAATCCTTTAAATATCTTGTTTGTTCTTAACCCCGCTTTTAAAAAAGAACGTAATTTTGTTAAATCCTTTTCTGTTTCAGAATCTTTAAAATCTGATTTTTCAACATTTTCTTGAACATCACAATCGCTTTCGTTTTCGTCTAAATCGTCACCATCATCCTCATCTTCAGCTTCTAATAAAAGAAAATCATTCTTTTCGATATCGCTTTCATCTTCAAAATCTTCGTCATCATCTTCATCATCCGAACTCTCGTCTTCGCTACTCCGACCTCCTAAATCGTCCATTTTGTCGTCGTTCATTTTAAATATTGATATTTTCATATTTGTTATTCGTAAAATATGCACTCGATACGAATGAAACATTCTCCGAACCAAGTCGAAATAGTTTTGTTTATATAAATCTTCGATAACAGAATCTGCGTCATTTTTGTTTTTTATAACGAAAAGGTTCGGAACTTGATGAAGAATATCTTTGTTTTGTGGTGTTCTAGTTAAATGTTCGTCAACATACCAATGCCTTACAGTCGTTTTTTCTGTATCCAAAAGCATAAAACCGAACGCAATTCCCATTTTGTAAGGTAGTTGATGTACGGCTGCGTTATATACATCATGTATTGAATTTTCCAAAAACTGTCTAAACTGAACGTTTTCAATGTAAGGAATATTTATTTTTATTATGTCCCCGTTTTCTGACTTATGAGAATGTAACATAATTTCCGATGCATTGTCTAAATAAGCCTGTTTTACCATATATCTCCATACCGATCGTACCTTTTTGACAGCGTTCGTTAATATATCTTCCTGCCCTTTTTCTTCGTTATGTTTAGAACTAGACGCCTTCCCTTCACCCACTAAATCACCACTCGTATCATACAATTCCATTAATTTAACTTCTTTATTTACAGCATTTAAAAAAAAATGCTCCTCATGAATTGCATTTATGTCTTCTCTCCAAGGTTCATATAAAAACTTTAATCTATTTACGAACTTTCGAACAGAACATTGTGTAGGAACCGCTTCTATTTGAAATCCCAAACGACCGTGATTTTTAAGCATGTGTTTGTTACACAACATCAAAGAACTAAACTCCAACGGACAATGTTCGCATTTAAAAGATTGTTTACAATGCCTTTCTTGATGAAGAAACAAATCCTTCTTTCGTAAAAAACCATAACCGCAAAAATTACAACAATTCTCCGAATGTTCCTTCGCTATATGGCTACGAAGTTTGTATTTTGATCTAAATTCACACTGACATAAATCGCATTGAAGTGGATTAGTATGAACTTGTGTCTTGTGCTTTCTTAAACTACCAATCTTACGAAAAACTTTACCGCAAATATCACAAACATGTTCCTCGTTGTTTTCGTGATAAATTTTTCGATGTAAAGCCAAAGAACGAACAGTCGAAAAAGATTCGTCACAATAACGACAATGAAAATTCCTCTCATGGTATAATCTCTTATGCTTCGACAACGTATTCTGTGTTTTTAAAACACTAGAACATAAATCACAAGAAAAGTGCTTCTCTTTAACATGTATATCATAAGACTTATTATCAGGAAATTCTAACGAACATATTTTGCAAAAAACCATATTCGTAAATGTACCTTGTATGATGAACCAATCTCTTTATCTCTTATGAACCTTTGCTCTGGCCCCAGACGCTCTGACTGAATTGAAAAAAAGCTCTCGCTTTTATAGCTAGACCGAAGTATTGTATGCTAATTTCAAACTATTTTTAAAAAATAGACGTCATTATTACTGAACAAAAAAATTTGAAGTTTATTCATTTTCAAAGCTAAAAAAAATCCAAGTTATTCCTTATTTAAAAAATTAAAGTTTTTTTTCAAAACCCAAAATTTGAAGTTCCTTCGAATAACTTCAAATAAAAAAATTTGAAGTTTTTATAAATTTGAAGTTTTTTTCTTATTTGACTTTAAACAATAGACGCTTCTCAGTATCCAATCATATGAATGACATTTAAAGATTTAAAATATTAGCCAATAGTAAAGCTCCACATTTAACATCCGTTGCGTAATATGTCAATCATTTATAAAATCACTTAACCAACTCCCAAATTCACAAACTGTCAAACCAACGAACGTAAATTTGAAAAAAGTCGAAAAAAATGACGAACAATCAAGCATTCGAAGTAAAAAAAGCTATCGATTCAGCCTTTACGGACGACGAAGAAGATTTAATTCCGTTATCTTTATTGTCCAAAAGACTACTAGCATCGTGAGTATATTTCTTTTCTTTTTACTCTTTTTTAAACTGTTCATTTAGTTTAATTAACTTACACATCTTTTGAAAACACTTTTCGAATTTTTTTTATTAAACTTCAATTTTTTCATTTAGACGCCCAAATAAAAGAACATCAACTTCGGAAGACGAATCATCACCGAAAAAGAAATGCGAAGGTTCTGCAACTGTAAATCATGCAGAAATATCAAAAGAATTCAACCGACTAAAAGAGCTACTAGAACCTTCATTCCCTCTAATGCCAGCAATTCGAGCACTCGTCCCTCCAGATATGGATACGGACGCTGAAACAACACTCACGGCAAGCGAATCAGCAACAGAAGTAGAAAACTTCAACGAATCGACTCCAAAACCAACCAAAGTTACTCCAACAGCCCGAAAATCCTTTCCTGCAGTACGAAGTCCACCTACTCCACTAGCCTACGAGCCGCAAACCAGGGTTGCCAGTTTGGATTTTTCTAATCCAAATTCCAGAAATTTGGATTTATAAAAACTTGTTTGGCTTTCAAAATATTATTTGGATTTGGCCCAAAATTTGGCTTATTTTGGATTTATATGAAAAGTTCTCAAAATTTTCTGAACATTTGAATTTTTAACAGATATTTCGGTCAACAGCTGTTTCAATTTAATTGGATAACACCTTTTAGTACATTTCTCTGAGACTTTCGGGTTTCCTTTTTAAGGTAGAACATGATGTGTGAAGTGTCATAACATGTTTATCTCTGGTGCGATGTACTTATGCAAATGTGAAGGTTATCCTTGCTGTTTCTTGTTCTCTTGCAATCATGTCTAAATTGAAATCTTCGTACGAGAATGGGCGGCGTTACGCTAAGTCATAGGAAGACAAATATTCATGGGTTAAACAAGCTTCTGATGGATCACAAAACGCTTTTTGCAAGTTGAGCAATTGCTCCTAAAGCATCTAATCTGTTGAGCCACGAGAAATCAGAAAGACATGTAAAGAATATGAATTCTATTAATTATACCTTATTTTTGAAATTGTCGGATAATGTCAAATTAACATTAATTTGCAAAACCTTTAGATGCCTCGTTTTCATTTCTTCGATTCTATTGTTCTAAAACCTCGATTTCATATTTGGCTTAATTTGGATTTTTGACAAGCAAGATTTGGCTTTGGCCAATTTTGAGACCTGGCAACCCTGCCGCAAACGCCACCTATTTCAGAACCAGATACAGAGCCTCAAGAAGAAAGACCAACAGTTCCACAACCCTTTAACATCTTTAACTACAATTTATCTGACGATGTTCCAACTGTGAGTAGAAATTTATCTAACTTCCCTTTTAACATTCGACAAAATGACCGTTTTTTTGAGACTTTAAAGCAAATTGGCTTAGCTATTGATAACCTAAAAGATTTTTCATTATCTCCTTCTTCTGACGATCATCTTTTTGCTACCTTTTTACCACATTTGACAGATCGACTCGAACCTTTAATGCTGAAATTAACTGGACAGAAATTCGGTATATTTACCAACTTGAAACAACTTTCGATATACTTAATCGATCATTTTATTTTCGACATTCTGAACATTTGCAAATATCTTTTGACGGACCAACTAACAAAATACGAAAACAACGGGGCTCGACTAAAACACCTTAGATCAACGATTAATATTAACTACATTAACAACCCTAATAACCCAGATGTGATTGCTGAATACAAACGGAGAAGAACTACTCAAATTCAAATTGGCAGTTCAATAAGAGAGATGATGCATACCGTTAACAATGTCACTTCATTAAAAAGAAGCATCATCTATGAAGACCCGTTGTTCGATTGCCATGATGCGATAAGAGTAACACTATTGTGCGCAATAGATGAAATCATGTCAAAAACTGCAATGAGTGAAGCTGAGAAAATCAAAGACATTTTTATTCATACGGTTATGTAAAACCAACTATATATGAACATTTTAACTAAGTAGATTAGTAACTACATTTTTTATTATTGAAGTAACTTTTCTTTATATAAATTTGAAGGCGTTGTAAGAATTGTGATCATTTTGTCTCTATCTTCAATATACTCAACATTTTTTTGCAACAAATCTAAAGCAGTAAAATTTTCGAAATTTCTTAAACTTTCGTTCAAAAGTGAATCGCCATAAGAATGAAGTAAACTAACAACAGTTATACAATCATCGTATACTGCCAGATGCAAAACCGACTCTTTTCGATAATTTTGCTTGTTTAAATTGCAGCCACATTCAACCAAAAATTGAATTACTTTACATTTTCTTTTACGAACAGCAATCATTATAGGAGTTTCGTGATTTATATTTTCCGCTTCAATATCGGCTCCATTTTTTATAAGATGCTTTAATAACCATCTATGTTCCATCCAAGTAGACAAATCAATTTCTTCAATGTTTGGAATTATTCGATGTAGAACAGTATTTCCATACTTATCACGATCATTTAAACATGTTGGATCATCTTTTACCATATATATAATTTTATCCAATTGTGAAAGTTTTTTATCAGAAACCAATTTTAACAATTCTGTCAACTCTCCCTTATGTTGAAGCTTTTCTTCAAAATACTGTATTGAGAACTCGTCTTCATCCTTCTTTTCAGAAAAACTCAAAAAAGAACCCATAATTTTAAACTTCAATTTTTTTATAAAACTTCAACTAACCTTCAATTTTTTAAAACTTCAAATTTATACTCAATTAATAAAAAATTGAAGTTATTTTAACTTAAATACCAGTCCAACAAAAATTAAATCAAAGTTGTGAAATATTATTTTTTAAATATATAACCATATCTTTAAGAATAGATAAGTCATCTTTGTCGGCTTTAGAAACTTCAATTTCCTTTTGAGAACATTTCTTCTCCAAATCTTCTTTCATTTTTACTGCAAGTTGTAATGCTGTTAAATGTTGGTTGTTTTTCTTCAGAGGATCAACATTTGAGCAGGAACTTTCAGAACGTCTCAAAAAATCACACCAATTGCCAACAGCATAAAAACCATGCAAATGTAAAGACATAACAGCTTTGTGCAAAACACTATTTCCGTCATAATCACAAATAGACAAATCCACCTCATTGCGAAAAAGATAAGAAGTTAGCAATATTTGCCCCTTCTTTATGGCAATCATTACAGGAGTTTCTCCAGCGTTATTTTGCACATTTAAATCCGCATTATTTCTTATAAAAATTTGAACGAAATGTTCAAAAATTCCCCAATCTTCTTTGTCTTCGTCCCAATATTCACAAACTTTATGCAACAATGTATCTCCTTGTTCATCTCGTTGCATCAAAACTTCCACATTGTCGCGAACTCTCATATTTATGAACAAACGTAATCTCCAATCTAAACAAGGAGAAATTCTTCTGTCGAAAAGTTCGAAGATATTTCTTTTACTCTTACAGTACCTTTGAAGACCTTCAGTCGGAAAATACAAATCAGGATACTCAAGTTTGTCACTCTTACAGTACCTTTGAAGACCTTCAAAAGATTTGTCATTCGTAAGTTTGTCATTCGTCTTTGCAGCCATCTCAAGTTTGTTGTTCGTCTTTTCAGCCATCTCGATAAAACTAAAAAAAAACCTTACGAACGGTCTTTTATACAATTTTGACTCTGCGGAGCAGCCTGACACGTGGTCTTTACAGGCCCCTACGCAGGAGCGCTAGGTTTAGTATGCAACAGGTGGAACCCTAGTATACACTAC